CACAGAAGTACTAATCGGATGATACTAGTCAGCTGTTCAAATGGTGCAAAGTATATTTTGTCCAACGGAGATCCCTAGTTATTTACCGATTCTACATTTCTGCGCAAGATTGAACCTCTTACTAGAATTTAATGGACATCATTGATAAATTGCAGGATATCTAACGGGGGTGACCAAAATGCGGCTCGCGAACCTGATATGGCTCTCGCAGTCAATTTATGTGGCTCGTGCATATAAAATATATGTATGAAATATGGTAAACTAAAACTATTCAGTGTCCAAAAAGAAGTAATTAATTAGTTTAGACTCTTTTTACAAAGTTATTAGGGATTTCTTTCTATTTAAAACCTCCTCCACTACTTCCATAATGATGTAAATATGAACTTGTGGCTATTAGAAAATCTAGATGCGGCTCTCGAACATTCCTGAATTCAAACGTGCGGCTCTTACTGACATGACGGTTGGCCAACTCCATGGAGGTAGGAAGTAAGATGGAGTAGCCCTAAACAGGATTCTCCCGTACCCTGCTCTGAAGCACTGGCGATCCCTACGTGGTGACCAAAACATTGGGTCCTTTACCATTAAGTTCAATGGGTTGTGACGCGATCGGATGTAAATATTTTGTAATTACGTCATAAATATACATATAAATGTATATATTTTCTTTTTCTACAATACTTCAGAGTCCTAAGTATATGAAAACAACATATTTTTAAACAGCATTTCATTCTGAATGGAATTAAATGCTATACTTTTCTCAGAACAGTTTTCTCAGAATGGTTTAATTTGAATGAAATATTTTCACAAGTTTTCGTTAATTATATTAGAAAAAAATTTAAGGTAATTCGATTTTATTCGGTTAAGGTACAAAAAATTAAGATCAAAGTTTATTGTATTATTAATATTAAAATTATGCATTATTTCTTTTCTATTTATAGAGCTTCTTCCTAAAATACTTTCTTAAATATGACATGATTTTTTTGGCTTCTGAGGCATCTTTTAAATCGAAAAATATAAGTCAATTTATAATTAATGCTCTATTCGGTTCATTTTAAATTAGAGAATAATTTGAAATTAGCGAAATACTTTAAATAGTACTTAACTTTCTCTGAACATTTCTGAAAGGGAATAAAATAAGGATTTTTTTAAAGTATTATAAAATGTAAATTATAAAATTATTATAAAATGTAAGGAGAATAATTCTTTTAATTATACTTATCAGATTTTTTTTTTACCATTAATTTCAACAATACATATACCAAAACTTTTTATTACTTTCTCAAGTGCGCATCTCATAGCATTTGCTTTACAATGCCTTTTAACAGATTGCTCTCCAGTACGAACAATTCTTGCTTAAATAGTTTTATAACGTGTTTGTCAACAGGATTTCAATTTATGTTTACAATTCAATATTAAGGTTATTATATATTTAGATAACATTTTATAATCATTATAAATTAGATACATTTATAATCATTATGAATTAGATACATTTAATAATCAGATTTCTTCACAGTTGTTTATAAATGAATAAATTCTTCATTTCAAATACATTTATAAATAATTTAATTAATATTTATGCATTTTGTTAAACGCAGATACATGCTTTTTGCAAGCACATGCATAAATACCCATACATATTTCCTATTTTTCATTTCCGGCATGTGCAAATTTTTATTTCTGTGCATTCACTATATTTTTCGAGTAAAGTAATTTACACTAATTTAGCATACACCCGAAAGTTTTACATAAAAAATATATATGAATATAATTTGAATGACGGATTGCAGCATTTGATGGTAATTTTATTTTTAATTAACCCAAATAAGTAAAACGTGTAAGCCCAAAGTGATTATTTTTCAGATATATAAAATTAAAACAATGAGTTTAAAATGAGCAGCAGTAAAGCCTCTCTTCTAAAAAATTTAAAAGGTACATGTTACAATAATATATAGATGTGAAAAAAATTTATTTTATTTAAAACATTTTGTCGTTTGGAACATAAAATAAAAGTAGCGAATACTCTATCAAGGATATCCAAAGACGTATACAATTTTAAAGGTACCGTAAGGTATTTTTCATTCTTTAAGCATAACATTTTTGTTAAAATCTATATTTTTGTAGTTCATAGCTTAGAATTTTATAAAACAAATTCATAATCAAAATCGCTGTTGTTAGTTATCGAAAAATAACCAAGATGTGATTTTTGCGTAAATGTCACTAAACTATACAAATTGCTATTATCCATCACACTATGAACGTTTCTTTCATGCGAAAGTGTCCCTTTTTCGATTTGTATGAAACTGTCGTATGTCGAAATACTATCAGAACACTGACAAGCGAGCTTCTGAATGTAAACAAAGAACACCCCATCTGGTGACCGAAGCTTCGAAGCAGTGCTTCACTTCTAGTGGCGGTTGGCCACTCCTTCCTTTCTTACCTCCATGGCCAACCCTGATATATAACTTTTCCAAATAACTATTCTTTTAATCCAATTATTTTTAGAAGTCTTACAATATATTTCCTTTATTTACACTACATGGTGGTCATCATGTAAAATATAGTTAAATTTAGATGTTCTTCTAAATTTCTAATCAGCTAAAATAATTGGAATAGAGAGAAAAAAATGGCAATTTGAAATTACTTTCATTCTTCCCCCATAGATTACGAAAGCACGTAAAACGAATAGTACACAAACTGATTCAGCTAAGCGTGCGCAAACTTCTGAGACGGGAAGGTTGCACAAAAGCAAATCGTATTTACCTAGTAGTGCAAGATCACTCCTATGTATAGGGAATCACGCGTATGTATACATGAAAGTACGAAAGCTCCATGTATGTACAGAGGGAAGCCAGAATCCCTATATATTATACAAATACGTGCAGCAAGTTGGGTTTCTGCTGATATTAAATGCTAATGGGCCAGCATTATCGGGGACCACTCATCCTCATCCTTCTTCATATGGGCAGAATGAATTACCGGTTGTTTCCAGAGGACATCTTTTGAGAGCTATTCAATGACCAACAGTTCCTTTAGTAGCTGCTCCTTGCAGTGTAGCTCGTGAACGATTAAGTCCCGCTCATCTTAATAATGGCAATTACCATTACCTAAACATAGCACTTTAGTGAGTGAATCGGGCTTAGTGGTTTTGTTCATAACCTGTACTGTTGTTAAAGTATAAATTACTTATTTACTTCTTTTTAGGAAACATCAAAGGACTGGCAAACGGCACTTTCATTGAAGTGGATGAAGAACTTGTAGCAAACATTTCTGTAACTATTTCCGAAGTCCGAGACACGTCAAGAATTTTCCAAAATGTGTGTGATTCCTTGCGCGACTAATCTAATGCAACTCAGGTCTAAAAAAACTATAAGGCAACTCAAGTTAAGTGTATGTTCGCAGTTCATTGTAATTCTTTTTTTAACGGGACCACCAGCGGCCGAGCAGTAAGTCGCTGAACACTGATAGCTCGGTTCGAGGTTCCAAATCCCATGAACGGGATGGCTGCACGGGTGCTTTCGTGGTTTTCCCATGTGTAACGTGCATACGAGAAGTTTCCCTTAGAAAGTTCTTTTCAAAGGCATCTCTTCCCTTAGGCAGATAGCCCTCGAGGCTATGCAATAATCACATAAACCAAACCAAAACTTTCTTTAACACAGATATCTTGAGAGTAATAAAAAGTAGTTGTTTTCTCACATGCTGCTCTTTGTTTTCTCATGCTGTGACACATGAAGATGACATTTCCGACCTTGTACTGCTATAAGATTCCAGTTCATCTTTGTACCATATACCCGTTTCAAACGTTTGTACATGCTTTAGCTTTACATCTACTTATATTCTTGTAATCAACTTTTTCATCTCTTTACTTTGCTTAAACCGAAAGATTTTTGTTTGCTTCTTTACATTTTTTAACTATTGTATTCTAATAATTCACATGAAACTGACATTGAAAACGCATTGCTTATCAAATTTTGAACATTTTTTTTACTTGTTTTCGAGTATTACTTATCGCAAAACTATAGTATCATGTAATACCTGATTTTTGGCATTATAAAACATCTCTGAACAAAGTTTCGTCAAATATTTGAAATTTATGATTGCCGAACTGAATAAGCATGTGTTTAACTTTCAATCTTTATGTTATTTGGTGAAATATTTACCTATATCAAGTATTTGTATACGATTTTTATGCATTAAAGTTAATTGAAATTACAAGATTAACATATGAATAATATATAAGCGTGAAATAAATTGCAGCATTATATTTTCACGGAAACATAAAATATTTTTTCTTTTTTTTTATTATGAATGTAAACGATAAGCATAGTAGTAAGAAATGGAGAATTCATATTTCTTCACAATATTTTCCCCTTTCTGTTTTACCAGTTTGCTGGATGTATTATGCCATTTACTCTCGAATGAAGTTATAGAAGCCTTTATATGACAGGTCCGTAAATCAACTTCGTGCTGGAAACGAAGACTTACAAGAAAAATATGAAAGATTAAGGAATATAATTAAAAACAATAAACAATGTTTTTATTCGAAGTAAAATTAAACACTTTTCTATAAGCACAAAAAAGAAAACTAATTTAAAGTATTAGCAATTAAATTAATTAGCAGTTAAAGTATTACTTTTCAGCGACAAATCAAGCTGAAATTCTTTCTCTGAAGCTAACAAAGAACCATGTTCTTCATAATTTCGTACGATAACAGCTGGAGAGTTTCTAATGCAGCTCAGGATAGTTCACAATACAGCTGAATAATTTCATTTACAATTCATTTTTGGTCTTAATTTTATACATTAAATAATTCAAAATAATTATGATGTAAACTTGTTTCACAACTTTATTCAATACACTGATTAACTTAATTAATTTATCACGTTAACTAGCGATATATAATGCTGCCAGTTACTGGTAGCTCATAATTAAGGGTTTGACGACCACTGGTCTGCATTAACATGAAGATTATTCTAACTGCATCAGCAAGTGTAACTTACTAGGTCGGCCTGCTTGCAAGAAAATCATATAGAACAAAGCGCAGCAAGTTAATCCTAGTACTGCTATGGTCAGACTCAAGAAAAGTTCGAATGTTGTTCTGTAACCTGCCCGGAATCGTGATCCACATCTGGATTCACCTTTCTCTATACGTAGTTGTACCATATCATTTGGTAGAGGTGGCTTCTCCGTGTTCAGTTCAGCCAGAGGGTTTTCCTGGATCCTAACGACTGTTTTCTTTGGATCAAGTTCAGGTTTCTTTCCCGGATTGCCATTTGCTAGCATCTCGTATTCCGGGAGATTGTCTGTATGTCCGTTTGGAGAGTGTGTGCCTTTCAGGGCCATCGTCATTAAGGGCTGGCTAAAATTGGATGGAAAACCATGTTTTCCCTAGAAAAAGAAAGAGAAACATTTAATGAGTTTCACGTGTTTATTAAAAATTCTTTTCTTAATATGGGAAGAAACAACATACATTTTTGAAATAGTTTTACAGTATTCTTTAACAAAAAGTACGAGAAAAGTAAATAATAAATAATTAGACAAAATAATTCGATATAAATTCGTCTTCCCATTTCCCCTTTCATTACACAAGACTTGCCCGGCCGTTTATTACAAGACTTACAAGAAAAATATGAAATATTAAGGAATATAATTAAAAACAATAAACAATGTTTTTATTCGAAGCAAAATTAAACACTTTTCTATAAGCACAAAAAAGAAAACTAATTTAAAGTATTAGCAATTAAATTAATTAGCAGTTAAAGTATTACTTTTAATCGTTTATTAACTGCATAGCGAGGCAAATTGCCAGATGTCAGTGATGTGACTATTATGGTTTTCTTTGAAAGTCATTCATTTCTTAAATAAAAACGGCTAATTTTAAATTAAGTTAAAACAGGAAAACAAATTAAAAGGGTCCAACTAACATATATAACTTACTTAAAATTATAATATTATACTAGCTTATTGATCTGTATGACAGTATAGTGAACAGTTATGGTAATGATCCGTATGATACTGAATGGAGGTATTTAGCTCCTTGATGGACTGGTTTCGAGTTACTGGTAAGTATCGAATGTTTATAATCATCGCCTCCATGCAAAATGTCTTTCACAAAATCTGTCGGTGCATTTGTTTAGTTTATATACGAAATTAAACGTAAGAGGTAACCCAAATAAGTGTAGAAAGTACAGAATATAGTTTATCTAACCGTAAATTAAAATTTTTACCGTGATCGTGTTACAAAGTAAGATTGACTAGATTAGCGATTTTATCAATAGAAAGACGCGATACTACAGATAATATTGATTTTCTCATTTAATAAAATATTTTACGAACAAAATTATACGCAAAATTAACTTTGAATTATTAATAAAAATTTATTTAAGTTTTTTACCTTAAGTTATAGGGATTAGACGTTCTTTTCTTTTCTTTTTTAACAAATAAATGCAATGAGATTTTAACGCCAAAATTTTCGATTGACCCACAGAATAAAAACAGTCTACATTATAAATTATGTACTTAATTATGACATTTCCAAGAAGTTCTAATACTGTCTTCCTATCATTGATTTTAAAACGCTTTAAAACATTTCTCAGTCAGGGTAATAATTGTACTCAAGCTCTACTTCCCCATGATATTTTTGACAAAAAATTAGATTCTAGATGCGTTGAGAAAAGTCATAATATCACTACGGGTGCCCATAGATAAGCAATTAATGACAGATGCTGATTTTTCATAGGCATTTTTCAATAATGGATATGATATAAGCATGAACAGAAAAGGACTGCGTATTAACAATGTATTTTATTTACACTACTGAACATTTTCAAAATACAGATTATGTTTATCTAAATTTTTTCTTTTGATCTTTATGACAGTATTCGTTGAAGTGCTCCAGGAAGAGTATATGACAGTTATCTAAGCAGATATTTTTTCTTTTGATCCGTGTACTGGTTAAAGTATGATCTTATTTCTTTTCAAGAATCGAAATAGGTTTTATGGTATCACTTATGAAAGTTTATTATTTCTCTACCTTTTGCTATGTTATTACTACTCATTACTTTTTCTTCATCTTTATTTTCTTCGCTATATTTAAATGGAAACCCACAGCTTAGACAGTTTAACACCTCTCATCTCCTACAATTGTTCATGCGGGTAAATTCAAGAGTTTTATATCTCGGATCGACCGTTGGTCTGTGCTAAGGCAGGAAAAGAGATAATACGTTTTATCTCTTCTTTCTCTGTATCTTAGTACTTAAGAGCAAAATATTGTATTTTATGTTTCCGTTTCAAGCTCTTCCCGATTTAAAGTTCGTTTAGGAATTCATTTTTCCTTGAAAACGCTTTGTTTCACTGACTCGTTTGGGATTTTATTTAGATTTTTTTTATCCTATATTTTTTGGTTGATTAATTCTGCCAATAGGATGCTGGTATCAATAACAATAAACTTTTTTTTTTGTTTATTCTATTAAACATTCATTCTGATGATCATTTGTAACTTTAGAAATCAGATCATCTCACTGCATGGAAGCTAACTAGTTATTGCGTCTGCCTTATTGATGGAAAAAAAAGATAACAATTTTCCATTTTTAAAAAATATTTTTTTAAATGCTTTCATTTTAATATTTTTGAAACTGTACAACGCTACGACTTTTTCTGTTCTTTGATATATATTTGAAAATTAATTCAAAATTCTCCTTTTAGTTTTTTTATTGCATTTCAGTTTAATTTTTCTCTTTCTCTTATCCCTTCCCCTGCAAATTTATATTTTGCTTAGTTTGGTTACTTATTTTGGCTTTCATTCATTCCTTTACTAGTAACTGTCTGTAACTATTCGTAACCTGTATATATTTTCTTCATTGCTGGACACGGTCCCTGATAAATACTACAAGGTATTTGTATTTATATTTAGTTTTTAATTATTCTACCTTTACCCATCTTCTTAATATAATTCGTATTTTCATTATTAGATTATTAATTATTAGACTTAATTATTCTATCTGGATTCATCTACATAACCTAATTCTTATTTTGATTATTAGATTATTAATTATTAGATTTAATTATTCTATTTGAATCCGTCTACTCAATATAATTCTTATTTTGAGTATTAGATTATTAATTATTAGATGTAATTATTCTATCTGGATTCATCTACGTGCCAATTTACCTAGACACGAGTATCAAAGGATCTACCGGTGGTTAAGTGGCTTAAACTGAAGAGCACTTTTATTTCATTTCAAGTTCTCCTGCTTAAGACCGAACTGGCTGACTGCATGAGAATTCAGTAGTGTTTTATCTCCCACATATAACGTGAATACAAGACAGTTACACTTAGAAAATTCTTCGTGAAAATATCTTTTATCTTCAAAAGTTTGATCTGACATGTTTTGCGATATAATTATTAAACCAAATTTGATTAAATTAAAAAGTTTATGTTGCAGCAAATAAAATATTGTTGCGTTCTACGGGTTAGTGGATTTAGATTGATTGATGACAACCCTTGATGAAGAATCAAAACATAATTTATTCTTCAGTATTATACAAAACAGTTCCACTCTCCGAAAAATTACGAGAAACACGCTGAAACAATCAGTAACACAGCCTCCTAGCTATCACGGTTAAGACAGCTTCACAGCAAAGCACTCTCCGCGTACGGGCTTATATAGCGTATACGTAGACCTTTTCGACCTGCCTTCGAGAACATTTTCGGGAAAACCGGTAAGAATTCGTTCTAGAATATTCTCACTCCGTCTATGACAAACCCCAAATGGGCGATTTAACGCCACATCTGGCAATTCTGCCTTTCCTTGCCACATTCTTGCAACCCTAACCCCGTTTTGCAGGGAAGCCATCTTACCGTAGTTGGGCATTTCGTAACAAAATGCCAGACTTACCGAAAGCGATCAGTTTGAAGGAAAGTCAGAAATTTAGATAGGAAGAAGATACAACTTTTCATTACAAAAGGGAAGAAAAGTCAGCAGGTAAAGAAAGGAATAAAAATTTCCTATTAAGTTAAATGCTTATTTTTAGGTAATTTATTAATTATTAAGTTATTTAATCCTAATATAAAACTGAAATTTTGAAAAAAATTGAATTTATCTTTTCCGAGATTTACTATTCCACAGGATACCCTTCATAGCATTAGAATATCTGCATCTTCTAACGTATCTGTTGCGATGTTTAATATCATCTTGTTTAAAGCATTGGGAAAATTTTATGCATCCTGTGCACATACGTTAAACTTATGGTTCTGTTCGTAATTGTAATTAACAGAACTTTCCTGTTGTAACTAAACGCCTACCAGCGACCGCGTGGCAATTTCGCTGAAATACTGGCAGTTCGGTGCGGTGTTCTAATCCTAGCAAACGGGTCAGCTGCATGGGAGTTTTCGTGGGTTTTCCCATGTGTAACGTGTATACGAACTAGTTTACCTTGGAAAGCCCTCCACAAAGGTATCCCTCCTTTTAGGCAGATAACTCTCGAGCGCTTTGCCAAGCCAAATAATAAATAAACCAAGCATATGGTAACTGAAGACGAACAGTTCTCATATACCTTACTAGTTATATTTCTTCAAATAATATTTGCTTTCAATGCCAGATGCTTTTGGCTTTTTTCAATGCTTTTGGCTTGACCTAGAAAAAATTTCAGTTGGATTTCGTATCTGATGAAATCTTAAATAATGTCACTTAAAGATTTTATAATACGGAATACAAGTAATATTAAATTAGTAATCAGGCCCGGATCAAATAGGTGCGGGGCCCGATTGGATTTTTTTTTTTTTGCGGGGCCCTCTCTATATATTAAATATTTAAATAAAATTCAAATTCAGTATATATATATAAATATATTAAATGTCATGGATCATCAGACAGGTAAACTTCTACATAAATTAAAAAATAAAAATGTTCAAAATACAAAAACATTTATTGAATATAAATTTACATCACCGAATATGAATGCATGAATTTACATATTTCTAAGTTTTTGTTCTGTAAATTCTTCTAAAATTGTTTGAAAATCTAATTACCTTGCGTCTTCACTTTCAATCGACATAACTGCTAAACTATTTAATCTATTCTGATTCATTGTCGATCTCAGATAGATTTTATTAATAGCCTGGAAAATGATCTCTCTCCAGAAGCAACGCTTACTGGAATTGTTAAGAATATTCTGAGAGCCATAAACAAGTTTGGAAATGCCGTTGCCCTATCATTATCCGATGAAAATTTGAACATTTTAAATGGATTTTCGAAATATTTTGAAGGAAAAATAGATTTCAAAGCTTCCATTTCTACTAGCTATACATCCATCACTGGCTGGTACGGTTGCGCAGCTAGTTGCGCGTGCATATACCTGTGTAGTAGTTTACATACGTAAAGTA